AACTGCAATTAAAAGCAGTTAGGGCAGTGGGATCCACTAAACTACGCAATGTAATTCTCACTTAGGTGGAGAAAATTAGTCCGCTGTGTATCTTAGGGTGGAAGGAAAAGTGGTGGCCGCTTTTCCATCCCAAAGTTAAAAGCTGTCCTCTTATCCTACCTGGGAGCTGAGGCCTAACTTGGATCAGAAGGGGAACAGAATGAAATTTCACTGGTCAGTCATTTCATAAGGTCTAAGAATTGCTTTGGTGCTGGGGAAATAATCGCATCCCACAATGGTTCATGGGAAGACAACCAGATTGCTTTTTAGCTCCTGGGATCACCAGCTTGATAGGAGCATGGGAGCGAGTGAGCCCCTCGCTGCATCTTGCTGGCAGCAAATAGAAAGCACTACTGGCTTGTTTCCAGGGCGGAATTTAGCACTCTCCACTTCTGTCATCTGTGAGTAGCCTGGCAGGGATTAACTCCATCTATTGCTGTGCACTTCTGCTAAACATTTCAGACTGCTGTGGCTGCAAAGGCAATCTGTCCAAAGCACAGAGGCACCCAGGACTGATTGCAATCTCACCTTGCTGAAAAGACTCTGCCACAGTTGGTAGAGTCACTTCTGGGCTGATCTAGGGCTGTTTCTCCATGGCCCATGACTGTCTCCAGGCTTAGGAGGAAGGGCTCAGAGCCTGTCGGTACCTGCTCCAGCTCCCAATGACCAAGACACAGATGCCAGGTCTTGTGAGACAGAGCCCTGGAGACATGGAGCTGAACACGCTACATGAAAAAGTGCAGCATTTCTCTGTGCGTAATTTGTTTTTAACTTGGGCATAAGTTGCAAGACCACAATTTGTATCAGGGGTTAAACGGTAGGTTGGGGGTTAAAACTCTACCCCACAGCTCTTTCCCCTCCAAATCCCCCCCCCACCATGTGGATGCCAAAGAAATGAAAAACCTCAATTGATGCTTTCTGCCTGCCTGTAGCCCCCATGCAGGGAGCGGGGTGCATTGAGGGATGAGCAGGGAGGACACCTTCCGGCAGAGGACTACGGATGTCACATTTTCAAGTGCCTTGATCCACAGGCTTCTGCATGGGTAAACACTCTTGCACAAAGGAGGGCTGCCCACACACCTACAAGAGCACCAGCATTTATTGTGATAACTAGGACAGCTTCACGCATCCACAAATTGGCTCAGAAGCTCAACAGAACCCATCAAGTGCAACAGGAGTGGTTGTTGTTTTTATTCCTCTTGCAAAGAACCCAGAGCAGCTTGCAAGTTTCTCCTGCTCTCCATTTTATCCTCGCTATAACAACTCTGTGAGGTAGGTTAGACTGAGAGTGAGTGACTGGCTCAAAGTCACCCTGTGAGGTTCATGGTGGAGTGGGGGTGGGAATCCAGATTTCCCAAGTCCCAGTCCAGCAGTCTAACCACTGCACAACACTATCTTAGTAATATCTTATTAATCGCATGCTTTATGCAGTACAGTGATTGGACTTGTATTTGGGAGGGTTATCAGCAGGTATAGAAGTACACCTTGAAGACTGCCAACACTTCCTCCATGCTCCTGGCCACCATCACAGCATCCCTCCCATGACAGGCCCAGCTAAGCACGTCAGCACTCCAGAAAATGGTGCTGTGTGAACATACTGCCAGACTTCTACCCTGCTTCACTCCTTTCCCATGCCTTGAGATGCAGCGGTTCAGGGGTCCAATCTTCTACTCTGCCTGGAGTTTTATATTACTCAGATTTGAATCATGGAACCTGTTCTCAGTGTGAGATCTGGAACAGATAATGACAGACAGACCTCTTAGCATGGACAGAGTGCCTTTTCCTTCCCACTTGGGAAAAGTGGGAGCCGGAGCTTCCAGGACATGGGGCATCACTGTCATGTGAGCTTGCCCTGGAGAATGTGGGATGGGATATGCTAAGGAACTTTTTCTATGTGTTACATCATACATAGGCAGGTTCCAGTGTCCAGTCTAAAAATCGCAGATTATTTTTTTGCAGGTAAGAGTACCAAATGCAGGGGGGAAGGTTTTGGAGCAGTTGGATCAGCAGCCAGAAGCAAAGACAATGACTTCATGCATAGACTAAAGTGCAGATCAAGGGCTTGGGGGGTGTGTGTGTGTGTGTGTGTACACTCAGCTCTTATGTTGTAGGCAAGAACAATCCAGTTCTCTTCTAAGCTGCTTGGGATCAGTGTATCAGCCATCCTTGACCTGGTACCCTGAAAATGTTTGGAACTCCCATCAGCCTCTGCGAGCTTGATCAAAGGGTTTTAGATTGGGGTGGGCAACTCCAGGGAATGGGGGCTACTTTCTCTCCCTCTGCCCTGCCCCACACAAGTGAAAATAGCCATACAAATGAAGGGATGGGTTTTGCAGATTCCTGGTTTGACGGAATATAGAAAAGAATAAACTGATCAGACCAACAAGAACCAACAAGATTGCATTTGCTTATGCTGGAACTGGAAAAGTTGAATATGATAGACAACAGGCCATTTGGGGAAGACATATAGTCTGGCCTTGGTACCTTGGAAAATATAAAATAAAGAAGTGATCCAGCTAACAAGTCAAGTGCAAGGGTTTGAGGTATGAGCAGCAAATAGACCCAATATTATAAATGCATCAGAGATTTTTAAACTGTCACAAGCCCATTAATCTGTACCTCATTGTGAGGCTTCCATCCTGTCATATTTCTGCGGTGACCATATACCACTCCAGACCTGCTTTATATTGGGTTTGGGGTTTTGTTTTTTTGTTTTTTGTTTTTTTTTGGTCTCCCTCAGTGCTTTATTAAAAGATTTCCATTGAGAGAGAAATTTCTTTGGTGGATATGAATTATATTTAAACTGGCCTCAATGCCAGTATGGTGCAGTGGTTAAGAGCACGGGACTGGGACTCAGGCGATCCGGGTTCTAGTCCCTGCTCGGCCATGGAGCCCACTGGGTGACTTTGGGCCAGTCACAGACTCTCAGCCCAACCTACCTCACAGGGTTGTTGTTGTGGGGATAAGATGAAGGAGGAGAATGATGTAAGCTGCCTTGAGCCCTTTGTAGGAAAAAGGCAGGATATAAATCAGAAAATAAATAAATAAATAAATAAATAAATAAATAAATAAATAAAATGCAGTTTAAAATGCTAGTTCAGACAGAAAAACCCAGCCAAAACAAAACAAATCTTACGTTTGCATTAGTAGCGCCTTCTATTAGGTTCAGACCCAGTATAATTCTATCCCCTTTCGGTTTATTGACAAGCATATGTATTTGATTTGGAAAATTCTGTTACCTGAATTTGCCAGTCCAATTCAGTCTAATTCTCTGGAGCAGAGGCAAGCAGCTAATTGGATCCTGGGCTACAGGGATCTATTATTAACATTTTTGCAAAAAAAAGACGGCTTACCAGAAGGAGTGGAAGAAAACTAAGCTCAAGGAGAACCCAAGGCATAATAATTAGAATGCAAAAGATGAATGAAGCTAGAACAGTGAATCAGAAATTATCTTTCCCTGCACCACAGAAATAAAAGGGCACCCTGCTGCTTCCACTGATAACAAGATCAATGGCTTGCTTCCATTAGCATGAGAGTCACAAACATTGGTGAATGGAAGAAAAGGAGCACCAACTTTTGAAAAAGTTCAGTCGAGTCCCTTCCCACATTCATGGTTTAACTACTACCAGCTGCCACTCTGTATTTATGTATTTGTGTGCTGTAGTTCATTTTATTTATCCATTAGTTTTAACATTTATATACCATCTTATCTGCTGCAAAGCCACTGAGGTCGTGTGCAACTATTTAAAACACAACAAAAATTCAAAGACAGCATGAATAAAACACCATATTAAAACAGAATATCAATAGGAAAAGTAGCTGGACAACCAAGGAAGGCCCCCTGAAATACAGGTGTTCCTAGGAGGTATCCGAAACAACGTAAGGTTGGTGTCTGCCTGACCTCCAGAGTCAGGGAGCTCAGCAGAAACGGAGCTGCTGCACTGAAAGCTATTTTCTAGATGGCCTACAGAAGTCCATATGGAGCCACCAAGAGGTCCACACAGAACCATCTGATGACTGCATGTACCAGGCAGGTTGGTAAGGGAGAAGTCGCTTGTTCCTCATTCTGGGTTCCAAGTCATTTAGGGTTTTCTGTGCTGGTTCCAAAACTCTTAAAACTGCCTGGTAGGGATCAGGTCACCAGTTCCCATGAAAACATAAACTTGCTTGTACAGGGAGATGGTTGCCCTCTTCCAGGTGAGGTGGGCAGCCTTGCCCGGATGATGCACTGCCTGCCCGTGGCCTCTTTCGGAGCTTTGCCAAGTGATTACAGTGACCAAGCTGTGGTTCAAGGCTCCAGGGAGCTGCTGGCGAAATGGCCGCAGGTGTCCCCTCCCCATGCAGATACAACCCTTCGGTCTCACTTACCGGCAGCACGCCATCTTCAGCAGGCAGCTTGGTCACACGTTCGCTCACCACCATGATGCTGATGTCCGAGAGAAGTAGTCCATGCAGCCTCTCCTGGATGCCCAGAGCTGGTGAGAACATGATAGTGGGCCCTGCGCAGGTCCTGGGCACCAGCAACTGCTCAGGGGTGCTTTGCTCCCGACTCTGAAGGCACCCGACAAAGAATTTCTTCTTTCCCAGACCTGTTGATTCGTCTTTTTATTGCGGCTTTTCACCCCACTGTGTACTGACTCTTGGGCTGACTCTTTGGGTGTGAGTGTTTGTTTACTGCATTTGTCTTATGTTTTATAATCTGGGAATAATTAGTTTTGGATTCAGTACAGAAATCTTAGGAAACACTGAGAAACCAATTGATCAGTCATGGAAAGCAATACTTTCTTCCACTTGCTGCTGCATGCCCTGTCGAAACCAATGCACACTGAGCACCGCCGATACATAGCCGGTTATGTACTCCCAGTGCCAGTGCTTGCAGCACCTTCAAAACCAAGCCGACTTTCACCGCTCACCTCCTATTGGCTGCTCACAAGATGCCTTCATCTTCCTTCCCCGTCCAGGTCAACGCTTTCATCTCCTTCGTCTTCCCAATGGTCGTCATCTCGGTCCTGAACACCGTCATCGCCAACCAGCTCATCATCATGTTCAAGCAAGCTGCACAAGAGAACCAGGTGTGCACCATCGGAGGGCAGCAAGCCATGCTCAGCATGTCCATGGAACCTGGCCGTGTGCAAGCCCTGAAGCATGGAGTTCGAGTCCTACGTATGTACACTTTTCTGAATGTTCTGTGTTCTTCATCCTGTTCAGCTCTGGTTCTGGTTCTGTGTTGGGTTTCGCTCTGGATCTGCTTTTGCTGAGGTCTTCTACTTGAGACTTCTAAGTTACTTGTTACTATCTTGTGAAATAAACTTCTAGAACACCTGAGCCTCATTGACCAGGTGCTTTATCACCTGCTTACATTATATTAGCAAAATCCACATTGTCGTAATGGACCATATGCTAGCAGAGGAATGTCTCAAAAATATAACTATTTCACCAAGTCTCAGGCGACCCACCCACCTCCACCCCCTCATTGTTTTTGGCTTCTGGGCTCTGCTGATGTAGATTCTTCATCCTGAGGGAAGTTCTGACCCAGGGAAGGCTGGTTTGCATGAGCTCCGCAGACTTCCTGCCCACTTCTGATGCAGTGATACAACATGGCCCAAGTCAGGTTTTTACCAGAGACAGCTATCTTTAAGATGGACCATGGTTTGTGCAATTAAAATAAATGTTAAGGACATGTGTGCAATATACACACTTGTTGCAAATTCCCACAATTTCCACTGCATTTTCACCTTGGTATCCAGTTCCTTGCACGTCCCTATGCATCGTTAACAAGCAGGACAAGGAGAATAATAGAAGAAGTAACTGGGGAGAGTATTCCTCTCCCCTGCCTTTCATCTCAGACCACCAGCCTACTTTCCGGAGTGGGAGCTGCACCACAATGCTCCAGTGCTCCCTCACCTCCTAACAGCCAGCCAGCCAGCCAGCCATTCCCTCCTCCAAGGTACTCCATTGCCACTGGTTGCTCTCTCTCCTCTAACAGATACTCAGTATTCTCCGACTCCTGCATATACTGCACTGTTCTGCTTTGCCCCCTTATGCTTTTTATACGCAAATCCATATGCCGAGGGTTTATAGTGTTGGTTCCCCTTTGCAGCAAGAACAGTGCAGCAGCAGGAGGTACTCCACCAGCTGAGACCAGAGAGAAGGAACCGTTGTCCCCCGTGTCTGGAAGTGACGGCCAAGCGAGGACCCCTAGAACAAGCCCGCAGGCAGGCTCACTGAGAGCTGGCCAGCCCCACCGGCCTCACCTGGAGGGACCATTCCTCAGAGTGGGGTGCTGTGGGCTGGTCAGGCCCTCGTGGGCACTTGCTGCAGCCCCTCTCCCCAGAGGGAGGGAAGTAAGCAGTGAGCGGCTCTCCCAGCAGTGGGGGAGGCTGCCATTTCTTGGTCAATTTATTCCTTCACCACACAGTAGCCAAAACTCTCTTATTTCACCGCCCCACCACATCTGCAGCCTGAGGTGGAGGATTTAGCCTATCTCATGGAGAAACCAGCCCTGAGCCATTGATCATCTGCAAGTGGTGTGCATAATACACCTCCTTGCCTCTGATAATTGCTTGCACATGTTGGCAAGAGAAATAATGGGTGAAAAAACCGTTATACGGGGTTTTCAGTAAGTCTGTTTGGGTCTCAGAAATGGCCCATGGGCATGCGACAGACACAAGGCTCTGGGTATTTTCTCTGCGGTGGTGCCCAACTTATGGAACGCACTCCCCGGAGAGGTCTGCCTGGCACCGTCGTTATTTGCTTTTCGGCGCCAGGCCAAGACCTTTTTATTCAAACATTATTTTAATTGTTAATGTTATTTATTGATTTTAAATTGCCAGGATGTCTCTACTATTTTTATGTATTTTATGTATTTATACATTGTTTTTTTTTATGATTGGAAGCTGCCCCGAGGCTCATGCGAAGGGGGCGGCATATATGTCGTTTAAATAAATAAATAAATAAATACTTCCAGATGGAGATCACCTACAGCTATGGTTCAGGTGGCTTTGTGAAGCCACTTCATCATCTCCTTAACAGATTCCTTTCTTCCTTTCTCCCTTTGCATTGGAAGATTACGAATTGGCGATGGTGGTGGCTGAGCCCTCCCCTCTTGTAAAATTCTGTGTTTGAAGCACAGTGACAGGGCTCATCTGAAAACACCCAGAGAATGAATTCTGTGAATTAGTCCTTAATTATCCTTCCAGACCTACCAGTACTGAGATGCCATCATGTCTGCTTTTCCTTTTAAAATAGCTGACAAGTAAATGAACGGAAGAAAAAATTGAATAGAGCAACCATCAGGCAGAAATAGATTTCAAAGCAAATTCTGCAGAAAGAAACTGAATTGGTATTTTATTACATTTTCCAATGCAATTAGAACATAGTTATCTGTGTCATGTTCAACAAGGTAATTATTCATTACTTAAATGCAATTCTCCTCTATTTATACAGCTATATTTAAACTGTAATTTACAGAATTACAGCATGTTTCATTAGTCAGTATTACTAGTGATCCCGGATATTTCAGACTGATCGTAGTTGTGGTTTTTGTTTTTTGTATTTGTTTATTCATTTTGTTTTATGCTACCCAATAGCCAGTGCTTTCTGGTTTGTCCCTCCCCCAGCTTTGCTCTCAGTAACCCCAGATACACATTCTTAAAACAGATATCAACTTTAAGACATGTGGGATTTCCTGCACAAGTCCTTCTACAAGCGAACTCCTCCGCTGAGTGCCACCAGAATGGTGAACAAATGAGGCTAAGAGGAGCATGAAGGAGACTGGAGCACACCTGAGGGAACCCAAGGGTCTGCAGAGTTCCCCCCGCCCCAAAAAGCCCAAAGTCCCTCCCCACGCACAAGCGCATTTGCAAGAATGCAGATCCACAAACTGGCGGGCAATTTTGCAACCAAACCTGCAACTTGCCTTTGGAGCTGCTTTCTTCTCCAATTGCACATCTCTGGTTGTGATCGAGCTCTAGTGTGCCTGGCACTATTATGTGCGATTGTGGGTCGATTCTGTCTTGTTTTATTGATTCTGCTGCTTTCAATGGGAAGCTGCGGTCCTGAGCTGACTTAATCAGGTGTGATAAGAAAGCCAGTGTGGTGCAGTAGTTAAAAGCTCAGGACTGGCACTCAGGGGTTCTGGGTTCTAGTCCCTGCTCGACCATGGAGCCAACTAGGTGACTCTGGGCCAGTCACAGACTCTCAGCCCAGCCTACCTCACAAGGTTGTTGTTGTGGAGGTAAGATTGAGAACAGGAGGAGAATGATGTAAGCTACTTTGAGTTCTTAAAAAAAAGGCAGGATCTAAATCTAATAAATCAAGAAATATCTGTGAGTAATGCCAACAGAATACAGCGGGACTCACTTCCAGGTAAACATGCATAGACCCAAGCTGCAGATCTAACTTTAGCAGAATCAGAGTCCTACATTTTTTCAGTAGTCTTGAAGCAAATGGTATTTTAAAACCTCATTCCCTTATTTCATAGTCTCACAGGATGGGGCTAACTTCTCTCTCTTGTTTCTACCATAGTTCTCTATATATTTTCAAGTAATTGCAAATCTGAAACTCTTAAGAGAACACTGAAGTCTTGAGAATAACAACATTTCTCTCTTTTTCTTCTGTCATACACGAAGGAGGGTCAATCAATCTAAACTCTGTTATGTCTGGCATGCTATTGCAGGAGCAAATTATAACACTCCTTCTTCCTGAAAAATCAATGTGCCCACAGAATGCTGCAGGGAACCCAATGGAAGAGCAATAAATATGAATGTGGGGCTTTGGGGTATTTTGGTCCAGGCTCTGCTGCAAGATGGGTGTTTTCATACACTAAGCAAGTCACAGGTTTTCACGCAACTGTTCACCCCTAATGTAGTGAACCAAGGAAAAGGGAGAAAATGTAGGCATGCAAGCAAACAGCTGTTATTTCTGTTTCTGGGCCTGGAAATCACATATTCACAACTCTGATAACTGTTCTGTAGTGATAACTTTTCAAAATACCATCACATCTACCAGTGAGAGAGAGGCAGTAGCTTGTTGAACAGCTGGGTCAGTCTAAAATATGGTGTGGAATATGGATTCATAGGCAACAGCAAGACAGGTGGCCATTGGGTGAGGAACCATGACAAGTAGCAAGATGTTCAGCAATAAGTTGATATTTAGTCAGCACTTGTGAGACCAGGTATAGTGGTATAGTGGTTAAGAGTGCAGGATTGGGCCTCAGGTGATCTGGGTTCTAGTCCCCATTTGGCCATGGGTGACTTTCAGCCAATCACAGACTTCAGCCTAACCTACCTCTCAGGATTGTTGTTTTGAGGATAAGACTGAGAGGAGGAGGAAGAGAATTGAGTGACCTTGAGTTTCATGAAAGGAAAAAAGGTGGAATGCAAATATAATCAATAATCAATCAATAAATTAGGGAGGGAGCAATGGATCTTTATTAGTAGCACAATTGGGGGTGGGTGAATGGGGTTAGGTTTTTTAATAAGAATTTGGCAACATTCTCTAATCTCTACATATTTCGGATGGAAAGGATTCCGAAGTATAAACCACAGAATGTGGAAGAAGCCGAAATTGACAGGGGTCCCCATCCAGACCAGGGCTGGAGCGCTTAGCCGGCTGATCCCTCTACGCTCAGGCACAATAGCCATTGAATACTGGAATGGGCATGTAATAATCTGGGGACAAATAAACAGGCCAGTTCAGGGTGGGGTTGGGATGATTCCATCTCAGGCGTCTTCGAGAAGCATTTCAGTCCTGCATCTTCACCCCCATCTTCACCCCATAGTGGTGTCGATATGAACCTATTTTTAGGTGCTGAGGTTCCCTAAAAGCTCTGCTTTCTGGCCAAATCCTAACAAACAAATGATGGATGAATATCAGAGAAAATAATTTTTTGCTGGTGGCACCACCCCCGCCCCCACAACCTCTCCACCTGGAACCCTCTTTTTCCATATTCAGACGGGCTCTAAAATGTCTTGCAAATGTTTTGCATGACTTGTTTCAGGTATCTCCACTGCGTGCAACTGTTTATTTCTTGCTTAAATTGTTTTATGTGTAACTTTGTTATTGCTTGTCAACAGATTCCAGACTTAATCATAGTTTGAACATTCACTACAAATCACTGGGAACCCAGGCATGACCAGTTCAAGTCTCATTAATTTCAATGG